TAACTTAGAAGGTCAGTAGGAAAAGTCTGTGTCTGCCGAGAGAGAGAAGCTTGGTCCGAGCCCCATTCCCAGGTCATCCCCAGGGTGGCGGCTGCCTCCTGAGCTTCTGATCCACAGAGTGAGGGGGAATTGAGTGGCTGATCAGAGGGGGATTGCAGGGATCTCTTTGCTGGCACTAAGGCAGGATTCTCTTGCTTTGCCCATGCTTGGATCTGGGTTACGATTTTGGGTGGCACTCCTGGGGAAAGAAGGAGCACTGACATGGTGGAGCTTGTAGTGGCTGTGAAGAAAGAATCCTTCTCACATTCCAAGACAGTAAAGAGTGCTTGTGGTCACTCATAGATGAGAGCACAGGCCAGGAAAGGAGTAAACACCTCGCTCTTGATCATAGCATCTTGGAAGAACTGAAAACTTTCAGGTCCCTGGAAGTATCTCTGAAAACAGCTGCACAAAACCCCCAAAGCTTGGGACAAGCTCCACACTGAAAGCAGACCCCTACCTTAACAAAGAGTTTATAACTCAAGTAATTGGCTAGGATCATGAGCAAGCAGCTCAAAAAGAGTCACACCTTAGAATCTTTCTTTGGTGACAAAGAAGATCTAAACATACAACCAGAAGAAGACAACATAGTCAAAACTCCTACATCCAAAGCCTCCAAGAAAATTATGAATTGGTCCCAGGCCATGGAAGAGCTCAAAAAGGATTTTGAGAAGCAAGGAAGAGAAGTAGAGGAAAAACTGGGAGTGATGCAAGAAAATCACAAAAAACAAGTCAACAGCTTGCTAAAGAAGACCCAAATAACGCCTTAAAAAATAGCCTAACCCAAATGGCAACAGAAGTCCAAAAGGTTACTGAAGAAAATGCTTCCTTAAAAATTAGAATAGAGCAATTGGAAACTAGTGACTTTATGAGAAATCAAGACACCGGAAAAGAAAAAGAATTTTATTCAAAAGAATGAAAAAATAGAAAACAATGTGAAATATCTCATTGCAAAAACAACTGATCTGGAAAAATACATCCAGGAGAGAGAATATAAAAATTACAGGACTATCTGAAAGCCATGATCAAAAAAAGAGCCTAGACATCATCTTTCAAGAAATTATCAAGGAAAACTGCCCTGATATTTTAGAACCAGAGGGAAAAATAGAAATGGAAAGAATCCACCAATCACCTCCTCAAAGAAATCTCCAAAGGAAAACTCCTAGAAATATTGTAGCCAAATTCCAGAGTTCCCAGGTCAAGGAGAAAATATTACAAGCTGCCAGAAAGAAACAATTCAAGTATTGTGGAAACACAATCAGGATAATACAAAATTTAGCAGCTTCTACATTAAAGGACCTCAGCGCATGGAACATAACATTCCAGAGGTCAAAGGAGACAAGATTATAACCAAGAATCACCTACCCAGTAAAGATGAGAATATTTCATCAGGGGAAAAAATGGACATTCGGTGAAATAGAGGACTTTCAAGCATTCTTGATGAAAAGACTAGAGCTGAACAGAAAATTTAACTTTCAGATACAAGACTCAAGAGAAACATGAAGAGGTAAACAGGAAAGAGAAATCATAAGAGACTTATTAAGGTTGAACTGTTTACATTCTTCATGGAAAGATGATATTTGTAACTCATGAGTCCTTTGTCAGCATTAGAGTAGTTGGAGGGAAAAAATTATACGTGTATATGTAGATAGATAGATAGATAGATAGACAGATAGATAGATAGATAGATAGGTGGATGGATAGATAGAGGGCACAGCATGAGTTGAAGATGAAGGGGTGATATCTTGAGGATAAAATTAAGGGGTGAGAGGATTATACTGGAAGAAGGAGAAAGGGAGAGGTAGAATGGGGTAAATTATCACACATAAAACAGACAAGAAAAGGCTTTTACAGTGGAGGGGAAGTGGTAGAAGGTGAGAGGGAGTGAGGGGATCTTATTATCAGATTTGGGTTAAGGAGAGAATAACATGCACACTCAATTGGGTATGGAAATCTATCTTACCCTACAGAAAATGGGTGGGGTGGGCCAGAAGGCAACAAAAGAGCAGGAGGATGATAGAGGGGAGGGCAGACTGGGGGAGGGATAATCAGAAGCAAATGATTTTGAGGACAGACAGGGTCAAAAGAGAGAATAGAATAAATGTGGGGTTATGATAGGATGAAGGGAAATATACTTAGTTTTTCACAACATGACTACTATGGCAGTGTTTTGTGTGACTACACACGTATAAACTATGTCAAGTTGCTTGCCTTCTCAATGAGGGTGGGTGGAGAGGGAGGAAGGGAGAAAATTTGGGACCTAAAATTTTAAAAACAAAAGTTAAAAAAAAATAAAGTAAGTAGATGACTCTTATTGACCTGCTGCCTCAATATTTTTTGGTGAGGCAATTGGGGTTAAGTGACTTTCCCAGGGTCACATGGGTGGTAACTGTCAAGTGTCTGGTCTGGGGTCTGATTTGAACTCAGCTTCTCTTGACTCCAGGCTCAGTGTTCTATCCACTGTACCACCTAGCTGCCCCTACTGCCTCAATTTGTGACAGTTTCATTCTTCATTTGAGTTTTAAAATATTTAAAGAATTGGATTCACCCTCTATGGGTAGAATTAATTAATGTTGATATGGGAAAGGTAAGGAGCAGGATAAGTAGAGACACATAATCTACAGAAGAGTACATAGGAGAAAACATTTAAGTGTATAGTGATAGTGGGGTTAGAAGTTAACAGCGAATTTAATTTACAAATGCTTGACATTACCTCATTTGGTATGGATTATTGACTATTAGCCTGAGGAGAAAAGTGAGTACAATCTTTAATCTAAATTAAAGAAATGAGGCTTACAAAATCACCACCTTTATTCAATGATAAGGAAGAACATGATCTCAGGCATATCTAGGATCTTGTCTATTAATATAGTCTAAATAAAACAATAGGGAATCAGTTATATCACTATTCAGAAGTTATTAAAAGTTCAATTTGTTTCATTAGTCTGAGAAATAATTGACTCATTTTCTTCATAAATATTCATTCACTTCATAATCATCTACTAAATAAAACTTTAGCAAAATGTTCATGTTAAATTAAGTTCAATAAACATAGTATACACTTAAAAAAGTTTTAAAATTTTTTAACATGTAATTGGGAAAAATTGTTTTTTATTTTAAATATGCTTGTGCAATTTACATTTCAAAGGTAACAGAATCAGATCAAGTTGATCTAATTGGGTTAATTAATCCAGAAAACTTTCTAGCAAATGGTTATCTGAAAATTCCCCTGCTTGTATTTTATCTTCATTTCATCCTTAATATACTTAATAATACTTAAGATATTCATTTTCTTTCTTTTTTTTTCTGTGAGGCAATCGAGTTAAGGGACTTGCCCAGGGTCACACAGGTAGCGAGTATCATATGTCTGAATCCAGATTTGAACTCAGATCCTCCTGACTCCTAGGCTGGAGCTCAATCCACTGTGCCACTCAGTTACCCCAAGATACACATTTTTGCTGTTGGAATTCATATACTGATTTCGACTTCTGGAAGCCAAGATGGTAAAGTAAGAAGTAAATTGCTCTCCTTCTCCTTTATTGACCTTAAAAAACCCAGAGAATATTGCCCAAGGAAAAATCCTGGAATAGTGGAGCCAACAGAAAGACAAGATATAGTAGTCTTTTGGTTCAGGAGGCTGGGTGGATGAATGGGAAAACCTCTTGCTGTGGCTGAAGAGAACTGGTATAGGCCGGGAGGTATCCTGCTGGAAAGCCAGTGGCAATGCCCACTTCAGCAAACCAGTGGAAGTACCTGAGCCCTACAGTGGTAGAGCAGGCAAGCGTCAACACTAGGCACACAACAGCCACCACTACCAGCTCCAGCTCAGCACCAGGTAAACGACCAGATGCCTACAGCCTCCAGCTACCAACATCTGACATCCCAATACACAAAACCAGTAGCCAGGCCCCTGGCCCCCAGTACAAGAAGCCTGGGTCAATGCCCCCCACATCCCAGAAGCGGAGACCAACTTTAAAAGCCAGAAAAAAGGCAAACAACATAAGCAAGATGCAATAAAGAAATTTGTATCTTTGGATGAGATTATTGGAGAATTGCCTGGCAAAGGTAAAGAAAAAAAAGTCCATGGAAGTTGAGAGGCAAAGAGACATCTTAGACATCGTCAAAGACTCAGTAATTCACTAGGGAATACCTTAAGAGGATATACTTGAAAGGAAAGGCTTATTTTTTATCCGTATGGATCTAAATGTCTCTTCAGACTACTATTACTACAGAGAAGTCATGATTATTCATGTTCTACAGATCAGGGATCTGAGGTACACACCAATATATCCAGTCAAATCAAGAGGATCATTTATCAAGTAAGAGGAATATCATTTTGATAATGTGAGAGGTCTGATTGAAAAGAAGCTTCAGATTCCCTCTAATTACAGTGTTATGATCCTCTAATATATACATGAATATGTAAAAATATGTATACACATGGGATATGTATATATATATATATATATATATATATATATATATGTATATACACACACACACACACACACACACACACATTGGGAGGATACACATAATACATGCCTATATGCATACACACATATATATATGTACACATGTATATACATTACATATATAAAATGTACATGCACAGTGTATATGAAAATGCAATAGAATGCACATAGTAAATGTTTGATAATTCCTGATTTGTCTCATATTTGGCAACTTCAGCAAAATTAGTCACCATGTACAAAGCATGTAAACCATTAAAAGAATACATCTTCTCTTCATACCTGTGGGCACAAGAAAGGAAAGATTCTCAGGGTCACAAAGGAGATTAGATAGCTATATACACAGATAGGTAGATAGACAGAGAGATGGATGGATGGATGGATGGATGGATGGATGGATGGATGGATGGGCGGGATAGATGTTCACTGTGAATTGGGAAGAAACCAAAGACCTTGAAAGTTTTTCGGCCTCATACATCACCTGTTACTCTAAGTGGTATCCTTGTGCTCAGTGTTCTTGACTTCCCTCTCTAAGTCATTCTCCACATGGCCTGTCTGAATGAGGAGGTTTATGTCTGGTCTCATACTTCTTTTTCTCACTGTGTCTCTTGCACAGTAATACAGGGCTGTGTCCTCAGCTTTAAGGGAATTCATTTGCAGGTGCAGCACACTGTTGCTGTTGTCCCTGGAGATGGTGAATCGGCCTTTCACAGAGTCTGCATAGTATGTGGTTCCTCCATTACTACTAATAACTGCTACCCACTCCAGCCCCTTCCCTGGAGCCTGGCGGACCCAGTTCATGCTATAGCTACTGAAGGTGAATCCAGAAGCTTTGCAGGAAAGGCTAAGAGATTCTCCAGGCTGTCTCACATCACCCCCAGACTCTACCAGCTGAACATCGCAATGGACACCTGCAAATAAAGAGTCATTTAAGACAAGAGTCACACAAATACACCACTTCAAAAGTGTATCCTTGGTCAAAAAACAAAGAAGAGACAAAACTACCTTGTAAAATAGTCAGAATGAAAATTCCATTCAGTCCAAAACCCATTGTTCAGGCTCTACAGGAGAGAAAGGCTACACAAGAAGAAAATCTCCTCTCCCAGAGCTGCAAAAACAGGTTTTTGCTGGTTTTCATCCCTAGAGGGAGGAGCCCAATTTGCATGCCTTTCTCTGTAAAATGTGAGGAAGAGCAACTGCCTCCCACTGTGATGAGTACCTTCTCTGAGCTGCAGAAAGGTTTCCCCCAGAATTAGTTCTAAAACACTGGGTAAAGTTAGTGACACTGAGAATCTAAATATCATTGGTAAGGTCTCAGTGTCTATCATTCTCCATCACTCCAGTTTACTCTCAATAAGAAAGGAATGCTCATTAGGCTTTTCTGTATTGCTGATATTTTCCTAGCTTATCCTAAGGTCATTTCTAATTAGGAAGGCACCCCAAGCTTTTGTCATTATTTATCTTCAGAAGATATTGGATCTAAGTTAGGGATTCTTTTTTTTTTTTTTTGGTGGGGATTGGGGGATAAGGCAGTATTTCTGAGCCTAGTCCTGACATCTCTGCTGGCTTATAATAGGGCTAATTTTGCTCATTCTCTTTGGAACAGGATTTCATGTGGATTATTTACCCCCAAACACATTCAGGGTCCCTCATATCCAGGGTATGCTCTGTTGGCATGACAGAGGTCATTGTGAAGTTTTTGATGTGAGCATTTGTACTTCAGAAATCAGCAGACATTGAAAATCTGGGCTTGACTTTAATTGGTTTTATTAATTGTTTGGATTTAAGGAAGGGAGAGAGAAAATGTTAATAATGTAGAAAAAACAAAAGTGCATCATTCATATATATTTTCTCCCTTGAGACCTGCTTGTTAAAAACTTACCAGCATACTCAAGATCATATCCCAATTTGAGCTGGAGAAATTGAGGCACAAAATGGACAGGGCGCAATAAAGCACACTGAATATCTTGGATCCAATAAATTGCCATGAGTTTTGTTTCTGGTATGGTGTAAGGTGAGACAGTGACACTATATCCTCTGGGGAATGTGTATGTCTTCTGGAGTTTCTGAGAAAAGATACAGACTGAGCCTCAGACTGAAGGTACCTCCCTCCCAGAGCACCCTAGTCTGCTGCCACCTACTGCACACAGAGATGTCAGCCAAGACAACATGTTTCTGGCTTATCTCCTCTTTATAGTAATTCTTTACTTCTTGGGAAAACGTAGTTCTCATCAGGGACCATCAGAATGCTGTCAAAAATACAATTTATTCTCCAATCAGCCTTTCAGATTGTGGAATTTTGCATATTATAAAGCCTTAACTGGGTCAGTCTGTTTCTTATTTTTTTTTCCCCTGCTACAGGCCTTACTTTTGCATTCTCCTGTCATTGTTATATAACATATAGGAAAAAGAACAATTCAAAGCAGCTTATGGAATACAGTTAAATTTCTGTCCTACAAAATATATCTTGGCCTCCCAAGCCTAAAAAGGCTCGCAGATCTTATGTTATTTTCAAGCTATCTTTTTAAAACTTTTCCCTTTCACTAACTCCTTGGGAAAAGTATATAACTGATACCTTCCTCTAAGGTGCTTCTCAACCTTTCGTAATCTGTTTTCTGACCTTCTCACTCAGATAATCTACCTCAGTTTCTCTTCATATGGCTGCCAAAGTTGTGTCTATCCATACTACTACCACACTTCAATGAAACCCAGTTTCTCCCTGTCATCTCTAAGATCTAATATAAGCTTTAATCTCCACTGTTAATTTTTTTCTGAAACAAGCCCCAACTTATCTGTGCAACTCTATGATATGCTAGTCTTCTCATTGAACTCTATAGTCCAGTTAAACTAGCCTTTCCTCTACTCCTTCTACATGTCACTCATTCTCTGGTTTCCAAGCCCTTACAAAGGGTGTCCCCTGTGCTTGGAACACCATTACTCCAATCTGTTTCCTTTTACTTGATTCCTTCTAAGTTCATCTCAAGTGCTATTTTCTACATGAAGCCTTTCCTGTTTCCCTCCATTTGCTAGTGCCCTCCATCCCAGATTTACCTTCTATTTATTTTCATATAGTCTGCATACACTTATTTATGCATTTATTGTCCCACAAAAGAATGTAAGCAATTTGAGAGCAGGGATTATTTCATTTTTGTCTTTATGTCCCAAGTGCCTTGCTCTGGCATGTTGTAGGTGCTTAATAAATGGGTGTTAATTGATTGACTAAGTGATTGAATTTAGAAACAGTTCAATGTTTGTTAAGGATTCTGCTCAAAGAAGTTCTCCAAGATAAGGCATGTTTCTAATATACTGTCCTTTAGATCTTCGTAATTAAATATTTTAGAAGAATAGACCTGATTAAAATGACTGTGAAAGTTTCAAAGTAATGTAGGTCTCACACACGCGCTTTAGAAAAGATATTTCAACAACAGTATGAGACTGAATAAGCACAAAACATTCAAAAAAGTACAATAAGTTCTTTCACCTATCCTCAGACTATTTTAAAAATGTGTCTGAAGTGGCAGCTAGATAGTGCAGTGGATAAAGAACTGGCCCTGGATTCAGGAGGACCTGAGTTCAAATTCAGCCTCAGACACATAACACTTAATAGCTGTGTGACTCTGGGCAAGTCACTTATTCCCCACTGCCCAGTCAAAAAGGAAATGAGTCTGAAGATCACAGGGCCTCAGGAAAAGGTTCCCAAGAACAAAACGTCCAGAATATCAAAGGAACTAACAAAAAGAAATGCAGGGTAAGGTGGCCTACCAATTCTAGATCGTAAATTGTATTATAAAGCAGCAATCATCAAAACTGCTTGGTACTGGCTAAGCGATCGAGTGGTAGATCAGTGGAGTATGCAAGACATAGTAGTAAATGTCTATAGTAATCTATTATTTGATAAACCCAAAGACCCCAAATTCTGGGATAAGAGCCCAGTATTTGAAAAAAACTGCTGGGAAAACTGGAAAAGAGTATGGCAGAAAATAGGCATAGACCCATATCTCACACCATATACAAAAATAAAGTCAAAATGGGTTTATGATTTAGATATAAAGGCTAATACCATAAGCAAACTGGGAGAGCAAGGAATAGTCTACCTATCAGATCAATGGAGAACAAAAGAATTCATGACCAAACAGGAGATAGTATTATGGAAAGCAAAATGGATAATTTTGATTACATTATACTGAAAAGTTTTTTGCACAAAGAAAGCCAATACAACTAAGATTAGAAAAAAGTAGAAAATTGGGAAAGAATTTTTACAACTGGTCTCTATCAGGGCCTCATTTCTAAAATATATAGAGAATTAAGACAAGTTTATAAGAATATGAGCCATTCCCCAATTGATAAGAGGTCAAAGGATATGAACAGACAGTTCAAGATGAAGAAATTAAAGCCATCTATAATCATATGAAAAAATGCTCTAAATTGTTATTGATTAGAGAAATGCAAATCAAAACAACTCTGAGGTACCACATCACACCTATCAGATTGGCCAACATGACAAAACAGGAAAATGATAAATGTTGGAGAAGATGTGGGAAAATTGGAACACTAATGCATTGTTGGTGGAGTTGTGAAATGATCCAACCATTTTGGAGAGCAATTTGGAACTATGCCCAAAGGGATATAAAAATGTGTATACCCTGCACCCAGCAATAGCATTTCTAGGGCTATATCCCAAAGAAATTATACAAATGGGAAAAGGACCCACATTTACAAAAATATTCATAGCAGCTCTTTTTGTGGTGGCAAAGAATTGTAAATTGAGAGGATGTCCATCAATTGGAGAATGGCTGAGCAAGATGTGGTGTATGAATGTGATGGAATACTACTGTGCTATAAGAAATAGTATAAGAAATGATGAACAGGCTGACTTCAGAAAAACCTGGAAAGACTTGTATGGTCTGATGCTGAGTGAAGTGAGTAGAACCAAGAGAACATTGTACACAATAATAGCCAGGTTGTGCGATGACTAATATTGATAAACTTAACCCTTCTCAGCAATACAAGGATCTAAGACATCTCCAGAGGCCTTGTGATGGAAAATGCTATCCACATCCAAAGAAAGAACTATGGAAGTTGAATTACTGTCTTTTTTTTCTCTTCTGTTGAGTTTTGTTCCCTCTTTCTGATGGTTCCTCCTTTGGTTTTAATTTTTACTTGCAACATCACTAATGTGAAAATATATTTAACAGGAATGTAAATGTATAGCCTTTATCAGATTATGTGCCATCTTGGGAGGGTGGTGGGGAGGAAGGGGAAGAAAAATTTAAAACTCGAAAGCATATGAAAGAGATTGTTGATAAATCAAAATAAATTAATAAAATAAATTAAACAAAAAAAAAAAGGAAAGGGTTCCCACCAGAAATACCAATGTTCCCACTGAGATTATAGTCTAGTAGAGCCAGAGAATCTCCAGACACATAAATAACTTGTAAGTTTCCATATCAGGACAATATAAGAGCAAAGAACTTCATCAGGAAAGTCCCAAGATATTCATAAATGCACTGTGTGGATTTTGGATGTAATCTGTATAAGCAGCAATCACTGCAGTGCACGTACCCTTTCCATAGCACAGACTGAAACTCCTCTGGCTCTTCACCTCTTTGACCTTCTCAATGTCAAGAGATTGCACAGAGTGCATCTAACACTCTAAAACATTCAGGAGGGCCTTATTTCAGAAGGTGGTTAACATGGAAATACAGATGACCTAGAAAGGCCAAGCAGGGCTGATCATCTGTCCAACAAATAAAGCAAAAAAGCAGAGCTTGGCTCTGAAACAAAGCCTCTACTCAAGGACAAAGACTTGAAAAATCAGTTATCCAAAGAAAAAACTGCCCACCATGAAGAATTGTTGTAAGTCAAGATGGTGGCATTTTCTTAAAGCAAACTTTATATCTCTAAATGCATTCATTCATAAAGGACAGGAAATACAAGTCAATTAATCAGTCATACAAGAGCAATAAAACTTGAAAAACAGTAAATTAAAAATCATCAAGTTGAAATTCTGAAAACTAATGGAACTGAAAACAAAATAATCATTAAATTTATAAGTAAAATTAGTAGTTTTTTTAAAGAAGAAAACACTAAGTTAACTAATCCGAAAAAGAGAGAACT